AAGTGTGGCAGCGGTAGTGAGGATGGCCCAGGATCGGACATTGTTTCGTTCTGCTGTGCATGGGGTCGCTATGAGTCGGTTCCGACTCGATGGCATCTGACAACAACAACAACGACATGAATCTAAAGGTTGAAAGTTTGAACCTACCAGGCAGCTCCATGGAAGAAAGGTCTGGCAATCTGCTACCATCAAGACAACCCTACATAGTGCTTCTACTCTGTAATACATGGGGCTACCATGATTCAGGAATGACTAGATGGCATGAGTTCAGTTTTCAGCTTTTAACCTTATAGTTTGTAGCTGAGTGTAAACCATTTGCACCACCCAGGGGACTATGGGAGGCAAGTGGTGGAGGGAAAAGTCTTCCTCTCAGGCTTGCTCCACACACCTCCCACCACTCTTACTTAGGAACTTGGTACCTGAGGATAGTCTGCTGTGGGCAATTTTGAACTTGAAAATCTTTAAACTGGTTAGTTTTGATTCTCATGTGTCTTGGGAGTGAGTGTTTTCCACCCCTTTCTAGGCAAGTCCTGTTCATGGTTGTGTTCATCTACCTGGTGTGAGAAGACTTAGCTGGGCTGATGCCCATAAAGACTCCGCAAACCTCAGAACAGAGCAGGCTCCTTGGCTGTTTATCCAGCAGATGTTCTATGTGCAGTGACATGAGACTGCTGGGTCATTGTCTTCATTTATTCATGTAGGTTTCTGGCACTCTAAGGTTTGATTTATTCCATTCTTCATAGAAAACTTTTAAGTTAGACATTTTATTTTTATCTAAAAGATACTGGCTACCTTAGATCATCATTTTAAAAATTAACTTATATCCCAAAATCCTAGGGAGAAAATGATGGTAAATTTTGAGATATAAAGTGATATGGAATGGGGGCTACAAAGGCAAGAAGTGACTGGCTTACCAGCTTTTGAGAGGGAACCTAGATCCAGAGAAAATGGAGGAAGGTAGACTCTCCACTAAGTAGTAGCCAATCTGTCTAGGTGGGGCTGATGAAAGGAGATGGGGATAGGTGTCTTGTGATACAATTGAAAATAATTGTTATCAGGAGTGATTGTGAGGGTTGGAAATGTAAAGGTAGACGTTTTGTAGCAAGGAGGGGAGTGATTAACTTTGCAGTCTAGGAGCGAGGTCCCTGGACCATCAAGGGAGAAGAGCGGAGAG